ACAGAACCACATGGAATTACAGAACCACATGGAATTACAGGACCACACGGAATTAGACAACCACACAGTGTTGGACAGGACCTCAAAGCTCATCTCCTTCCACCCCCTGCCATGGGCACCTTCCASCAGAGCAGGTGGCTCYGAGCCCRTCCATCCTGACCTGGGGCACTCCCAGGGATGGGGAGCTCATGGCAGAAGGGTGGGTGGGTCTAACACTGCCCATCTCCTTCCTGCCCCATTGGGCCAGTCCTGTCAGACCGTCCCAAACAAGAGGATGAACTTCTGCTGGCAGGAGCCTTCATGGCTGGGGCTGGCATCTGCTGAGCCCTGAATTCCTGATTCCAGCCCCGAATCCTGAGCCAGCACACCCCATCACAGTGCAAGGATTCCTGGAGGTTTCTCCCAGCACTGCTGAAATGGATTTGGGCACCTTCTCTCTACGCTTTAGCTCTTATTTTCTGGAATAGCACAGCCACAAAGATGAAGTAGGGAAAAARGGCCTTCCCATGTGTGTCACTTGCTGAGACGGGAGTACACAAAAATTTATGGCAGTTCTAAACGGGAATCTGCTCTTATCCCTGAGCACCAAAACCCAGCAGAGGACCAGGAAATAAGGGAAGGAAGCAGGTGACAACACAGGAGTTACCTCTGGAGGCTCCTGGCCTCTCACCTGTCTGCAGAGCAGYTTGTTGAGCACTGGAGATCGGGGGRTGCTGTGYRRGGGAWGGACCTTCCAGCGGGGCCGCCCTTCGAGGCCGGGGGAGAGAGGGGCTGGGAGTGACTCCGTGGGCACTGTCAGGGAGGAGGAGCACGAACCCACGGGCTGGGAGCGGATGGAGCTGATGGATCCTAGGGCAGGAGAGAGGGAGCGGTCAGTGCTCGGAAAGTTTGAGGCAGAAGCTTTGAGAGAGGAGGGAGAAAACACAGTGGGGAGAAGGAAAAACCTGCAGGGCCCGGCTGAAATCCCAAATATCAGTGTAACCCTTGGGCAGGGCTGGGATTAAAAACCCTGTCCCTTGTCCTCTCTCCTGCCTTGAACCTCGACAGGGGTGGCAGGGGGGTCACAGATGTTGGGATGTATGTACAGAGCCGGGGGCTGCACTCTGATCCTTGTGGATCCCTTTAACTCAGGATACTCCGGATATTCCGGGAGCAGACCCTGCAGCTCCCCCATCCCCAGAGCCTGGCTGCCAGCAGGGGCTGTCCATGAGGCACAGCTCGGTTTAGCACGGCCCCAGCAGGAGCTCTGAGCCCCRAGCCACGGCCAGGCTGGAATYGCTCTCTCCCTAAAGCCTCCYRGGCTYGGTTTGCAGGCRCTCCCTCCTCCCCAGCCCCTCTGCGGTGCTGCTTTACCRCACTTGTGAGTTGTTTGAAAGGTCTGCTGCTCCTCTGTTTTTCTGGCTGCAGGATTTATCGCCCTCATTAGTTCGAAACCCAGCGTCTGTTCCCCCACCGCTGCCCCGCTCCGTGTTAAAAACACCGATATCCATCACTCCAAGAGATCTCACCCWGGGGTCAAGGAACCCGAACCTCTGACAAAAGCCATCCAGACACATGGCAGCTGCGTTTCACAGACAGATTTGTGGGTGGGGAGAAAGCAAAGTGAGTGTTTAATAATTTTCCTTTTGGAGTTTTCACTCCGGAGCACCAGAGGAGGAGCAGAGCAGTGGAATTCCCACCCCCACCCCACTTCTCCCGTTTTTTTAGGGCTCTCTTAGACCCAGAGCTTCAGGCTRAGCCTGTGCCATTCATGTGCTATTCCAGGCTTTATAAAATGCTTTTTATGATGCAGAAAAAAACTGTATCATAAAACCTGTCACAAACACAGTCATAAAATCCAGACCCGATACTCTGCTCCCTGTCCTCAGCTGGAATTTCCTCCTGCTGGAAACTTTCCACTGAACTCTCATTTAAGAAACCCAAACCCCCTCCAAACTGGATGCTCAGGAACACTGGAGATGTCTGGAGTTTGATATTTTTTCCTCGTTTTTCTAGGAAATCAGGAAATGTTTGGTTTTGGCATCTAAAACCAAAATACCCCGAGATCTGCTCATCCCACAGGATTTTCACCGTGTGGTCAGTGGAGCATGGGGAGAAGATCTGACATTYGGGAGCCCATGGAAACATGGGTGCTCACAGGAGTCTCCATGGGCTCAGTTCTACTTGGATGTAATTTATGGAAAGGTGCCTTGAAGCAGAGTTTGGGCAGCTCAGGAGCAGCAGAGCTCGGGGTGATGCTGGTTTTACCACCTGGTAAAGAGTCATATCCATGATATCCATGATATCCRKSATWTCCATSATATCCATCATTTCCATCATATCCATCAWWTCCMTCATATCCATCCCTCCAGGGCCCTCAGAGAGAAACTCAGGAAACATCAGAGCATTCTTGGTGGGTTCTGCCCACCYCTGCACGTCACAGGGGTTTTATGTGGATATAAATCCCACTTTACGGCCCCTCCGGGAATGGAAAGCAGCCCCGGGAGAGCGCCCGTGAAACTCAACCTCTGTTTTCTTTCCTCGGCGAGGAATTTGCAGGTGAAGGAATAACAAACACGGAGCAGAGAACACGACCTGGCTCCCAGAGAGTCTGAGCAAACACTGAGCTCCTTCTCGCAGGGAAATCAGAGCAGACCTGGGTTTTGCAAAACCACCGAGCAGCTCTYGCATTTCAAACCACGCTGGATCAAAGGAAACCAGGCTGGGACAAATTCTTGGGAGCCACTGTGGGAGCACGTGAGCTTTTAGGGAGGCAGAGATTGCGTTTCCTATCGATTTCCCCTCTAGACCAGCTCCACAAAAGAGACAGAAAGGCGTTTTCAGGGAAATGTRCTCAATTCAGAGGATAAGTGCCCCCTCAAAGGCTCTGTGCAGCTCGTGATTCCCGGATTGTGGGGTCTCTCTATGGGGTCTCTCCGTGGCATTCATTACGGGGCCAGGCTCGGGAAGAGCCAGAGAGTGGTTTCTGATCTTTCTGCTCCCAAAGAGCCCCCTGCAGCTCTGAGCTCGATGGATGGTGCTCAAAGGCTGTGCCCTGGGGCTGCAGCCTGCCTGAAAGGACGGAGCTGTGCCCAGCAGCAATCACAGCTCCAGCTTTTGTTCCTGGGGATGGCATTGATCTGCAGTCAGCATTCAGAGGGAACACACAGCTCCCTTTCCCTCAGCTAACAGCCTGTACCCTCTGGTGCTGCTCGGGAGCCTCTGAGCCACCAGCTCGCTCCTGGGAAAGTGATGGAAACGTGGAATTGTGCAGAATATGGGAAACATTGTGGTGTGATGGAACAAAATCAGAGCGAGCCCTGCCCAGGCCATGTTTGGGTTGGGTGCTCCCCACTGAACCCCCTGTGCAGCTGCTGTGATCATGGAATTGTAAAGGTTGGAAAAGATMATGGAATCYAGTCATTAACCCAGCMTTGCCAAGGTCACCACCAAATCGAGTCCCCAGTGCCACAGCCACATGTTTTCTGAACTCTCCCAGGGATGGCGATTCCACCACTGCCCTGGGAGCCTGTTCCCATGCTTGAACACCCTTCCAGTGAAGGATTTTYCYCTAATATCCAAATTAAACATCTCCTGAGGTGGGGGGCAGCCTGAGGCTGCTCCCTCCCTCTCCTCCTGTCCCTGTTCCCTGGAGCAGGGCCCAACCCTTCTGGCTGCCCCCTCCTGTCAGGGAATTGTGCAGAGCCACAAAGTCCCCCCAAATCCCCCTTTCCCCCAGGCTGAGCCCCTTTCCCAGCTCCCTCAGCCCCTCCATCATGAGGAGCCCCAAACTCTGGCTCAGAACAGGGGGATCTCCAGTCTCCATGGGTGGTACCTCTCTGGGCTTTGCAGGGATAGGTTTCCATCTCCACCTCGTGCAGGGGGAAGGGGGCYTTGGCCGGGGTCACGGGCCGGAACATGTAGCTGTCGTTGGGCAGGGAATGCATCCGGGACACGGAGATCTTGCGGACTGTCAGCAGGTTCTGGGAATCCTGGGGCCTCAGGGAGGCTGCGCTGCCCTAAAAAGGAAGGGGACAGGGACAYGGGGTCATCTCAGGGGGGAATTTATTGTGAACTCCTTCCTTTTTTTGCTTCCAAACCCTGTGCAGGTGTTCCTGTTGGGATCTCATGTGGAACCTGTGGCCCTGGTGACTGTGAGGGACACTAAAATTCCATGGATGGAAGAGCTCAGGATGCAGCTGGAATAAAGGGAAGCATCAGTGATCATCATGAAAGTCAGCTCTTGGACACACAGAGAGAAAGGAATGGCCAGGAAAAGGGTTAAAAAAGGGAAAATCCATTAAAAACATGGTGTTTCCCACATTGTCCTGATCTGATGTTCCAGGGAATGGTTTTTACCTGGGGATGATGTCCTGCTCCTTGAAGAAAGGACAGAGAGGCCAAACCAAGGGCAAGAAGCAGGAGAGGGCATTGTGGCAGTGAGAGTAGGATGGGGAGCCTGTTTTGGGATAGAAAACGGGTTTTGGGGTTTTTCTTTGCCGTCCTGTGAAATGATTCTGGCTGGAAGGGCCTACGAACCTTAAACCTGACCCCTCTCAGGCACCTCACAACAAATCCATCCTGGGCTCTCAGGAAGCTGTGGGGACACAGATGATGTCCCTGAGGGCTGATGGAGATGCTCTGACCTGGCCCAGTGCTGGGGCAGCAGGAGCCCCGGGAGCAGGTGCTGCAGCCCAGCTCCCTGCCCCCAATTCTGCTCCCAGACACATTCCCCTCCCAGTTCACCCTTTTYTCTAAAACACAACAAACCCTCTGGTTTTCCTTTAATATCAGCTTCCCAGRGACTGACTGAAAACATTTCCCCAGCTGCCTGTTCTAAATGAAATGCATTTCACTTCGCTGTTTTCCCTCTCTGCCAGCAAAACCTGGCCCTGAGCTCCCTCAGGTCCAGAGCTCACCAAGGATTGGGTTAAATCTGTTTTTTTCCTTGTATTTCTGGCTCAGAAATCCCTTTCCTCAGCTCCCTGGAGACACACACCCCACAATGAATGACTCCATGCTCAGCACTTGACCAGAAGGATCTCAGTGTTTGGCTTTCAGGCTCAGTTTGGCTGGAACAGATGAGCAGAAAGCCCTTCTTGACATCAACCACTTCCATTTTTAAGGGTTTGGCTGTTGAGAGCTGACTGAATTAGGGACGTGGGCAAATTGCAAATGRAAGAAATCCTTGGAATATGAACCAGGAAACTCGCTGGCTGCCACCTGGAGCTGCTCTGGCCAGTGAGGGTCCCACAGCACCACTGCTGCTCSTCCTCGCTGGGAAACACCTCCAGAGCCTGATCCCAATCCCTGGAAATTGGGATGGGATCTGGGTGTGCGGGGTGATTGGGATGGACTGAGCAGAGGGAATTACAGCCCCTCTGTTCCTCTGGGAATCCTCCTGGAACAGCTCCTGAATTCACAGCTCTGGGATTGCTGCAACCTGGGGAGCTGATCCCCTCCTGCCTCTTTCCTCARGGTCACAAACCAATTTTTACAATCACAATAATAAAATCAAACCTGACAGGATTTTCTCCCAAAGAGAAGACTCTGCCTGCAGCTCCTGGTGTAACATTTGAAGTCACACAGCTCACACATSGCCCTGCACACCAAATGCACATTTTTAGGGCTAAAAAGAGGATTTCCCTCCTATCCCACACGGGGCTGTTGGCAGATTCCTCTGRCACTCGCTGTTTTCCCTGCTGCTGAGCACGGAGCATGAAGGACAGAGGCTGGGAAGGTTGTGGCTGTGAAGTTTCCAGGGTTAAAAGGAGGCTCTGCCCTGCTCCTGATGTGCTTGGGAAATATGGGAAGATGAGGAAAAGCCCAGGAGAAGGGACTCATTTTGCAGTCCCAGCCTGTGTGAAAGGTTGTGCCCTCTCTCCCTGTAATTAGAAAAGCAACCTGTGCATTTTCCTGCAGGAAAGTSTGTCAGGAACAACATTCCAATTGCCAATTCCCCATTGCTGTGTAGCCAAATTTCTTCTTCCTTGCCCTAATGGAGTCTGATAGATTTCAGAAAAATCTAATTTAATGTAATTTAATCTCCAACCCCCCGCTGATTTCGCGGTAGATTTATTTGTGATCATGGTGACAAAGCAATTCCATGTTCGCTCTTAATCACAGGCTGCTGACACGGGATGAGACAATTATCTCACGCCCTCCTTCCCCCTGCACTTCTGATTGTTTTCCTGGACGACTGAAGGGAATCAGAGAGCAGGCAGTGCCTGGAAATTCAACGCAGGAACCTCCAGCTCCTTGCTGAGGATAATTCCCAAATCATCCAAATCCTAAGTAGAGCCTGAGCTGCGCTGAATTGCTGGGGATCCTCTGGAAATCCCAAAGTGGGATTGAAAAGGACTRGAGCAGTGTCCATGTGAAGGGAATTTATCCCAACCTGTCCTGCAGTTGCCAGGGTTCTGGCATTCCCAGGCTTTATGGRATTGCTCCCTGGTCTGGATGCCCTGATAAATGTCAAGAACTGTCTGGGATAGCAGAATAGGGACCTGTGGCTGTTATKGCTCTGAACTGAAAGTGCACACCCTGGGAAGGAGCTGGAGAGCTAGACTTGCACCCATCCCCTGGAATGATGGCCAGGAAAACATTTCCAGCAGCTCCAGGAGCCCTGGGAGCTGACTCAGGATGTGGAGTGCTGGTGACAGSTCCTTGTCTCCCATCCCTCTGTCTCCGTGTGGGATCTGTGTGGGATCTGCAGGTCAGGCTGTGGGATTCCTCCCCTCCCCACCCCCAGCTCAGTCTGGGCTCTCCCCAGGGCTCWGTTCTTCACCTGCAGCACCGCTTTGGGCTGCTCCTGATTCCCRTGGAGCGCCCGGCTCTCCGGGACCGCGGCCCCTGCCCTACTCCCGCCGGCGGGGTTGGCTCCCCTGGACATCTCCAGCTCAATCTCAGCGTCCATCTCAGCGTCCTCCTTGGCCTCCTTGTTGCTCTCCTCCAGGTGCTTCATCAGCACGGCCACCACCACGTTGACCAGGACGAACTGGGCGATGAGGACGAAGGTGACGAAGTAGACGGGGGAGATGACGGGCAGGTAGCTGAGGCAGTGCTTGTCCTCCCGGGTGCATTCCCTGAGCGTGTCCTGCAGTGGGGAGGGACAGGGCAGGGGTTAACCAGGCTCTGCCTGGGCCCTGAGTGCCAAAACAGCAAAAGGACACAAAGGTTTGTGGGTACAACTGAAATGGGTGAGAGAAAATGTGGAGATAATAAATTGTATCGCCTACAAAGAGGGCAGTGTGCTGCTCAGCAGTTTTGGAATCCCCATCTCTGGAAATCCCAAAGTGGGATTAAAAAGAACTTGAGCGGTTTCCAAAGGAAGGGAATTGATCCCATCCTGTCCTGTAGGTGCCAGGGTTTTGGATTCCCCACCTCTGCAGTGTCCAAGGCCAGGTTGGACGGAGCTTGGAGCAATCTGGGAATGTGGAAGCTGTCCCTGCCCATGGCAGGGGGTGGAAAAGGATGAGCTTTAAGGTCCCTTTTCAACCCAACCCATTCTGGAATTCTGTAACTAAGTTGCTGTAAGATTAAAAAGTGGGAAATGCATCCCAAAATCCTCCCTGCCCCTTCTGGAGGAATGTTCTAGCCAAAGCCCAGGATTTCACACTAGGATGAGCTCTAACGTCCCTTCCCACCCAAACCATGAAGTGATTCCATGGTTCTGTGATACATCCCAAAGGCACAGGACACAGGGCACAAGGCTACCCCCAATTAACCAAAAACCAGCACAATTATCCTTAAATATTTTATCCAGGAACAAAGTTTCAGCCTGGCTGAGGCTGAGGACAAACCACACCAGGCTTTTAAATTATGAAGATTCTTTTTGATGTTTTAAGAGGCAACATTTTTGTTCTCACACMAAAGYTASCTTGRTCYRTTTGACCTGTACCCACAGGTCTCTSGAGGGGARGAAGCACCCAGAGATTGCACCCACCTTCATGATGCCATTCCAGTTGTCCCCTGTGGACACCCTGAAGAGGGTGAGGAAGGCCATGCCAAAGTTGGTGAAGGTGGCGTGGCGGCTCAGACCCTCGCAGGGATTTTCCTCACTGCAATCTGTGGGACAGGGAGGGAGCAGAGGGTGAACCCAGAGCAGCCCCAGAGCTGGGGGTGGCACCCTGAGCTATGGCCCGTGGGCACAGGGTGCCAGGGGTGGGGATCTCCTGCTCAGGGGGAACAGGGGGGATGGTGGGGAAGGTGTTTTTGTCTGGAGAATCCTGGGATGGATCACCAGAAGGTGGGGAGATGGTGGTGGGGGCAGTTTAATCCCTGAAAACATTCCAGRCCAGGCTGGACAGGGCTTGGAGCACCYTGGGATGGTGGCACTGGATGGGTTTTAAAGTCCTTTTCAACCCAAACCATTCCATGATCTTCTGATTTCTGGGATTTTCTTTGCTCCTGCTCTACACTCTCCCTTGTCTGTTTTTGTCTCGATCCTGCCCTTGCCATGGTGATTTTTTTGCAGGGTACATCTACCACGAGGGATATTTTCACTGAGATAAAGTGGAGCAATTCGACATTCTCCCCCTGAGAATTAATATCCTAACGAATGCAAATTGACCATAYGAAATATCCATCTTCCCATAAAGCACAGGCTCGTTAAATATCCATTAGGACAGGCAGCAATGGCTCTTGTTTGGGCATTTCACTCTTAGGTAATTATTCTGAGGCAAATTGGAAGGAAAAACAAAATAAAAACAAGAAAAACCCACAAATGACCAGTCCTGGGGGAGAGAGTGCTGATGGTTTTTGTGGCTGGTTTGGACTAATCAGGAAAAGGGAATGAACAGTTCCCATTAAATGGGGCTGGGAGGCAGAATCCTGCCCCAGAGGGGCTCCCTGGGCTGGCAGTGCCCGGGTGTTTGTGTGGAAACCCCAGAGCAGCAGGAGGTGACTCTGTGAACAGCKATTTTTCACCCCTGTGACTGAACAAATGCACCCATAACTCCAGGGATGGAACATAAATCCACGCTGTCTCACTCGGGGTAGGTGCAGAACTAATTCTTTCCCCCGGAATTTGTGGGAGACTGAAAAATAATTTGGTTTTGGTTGGAGGAATTGTTCTGCTCTCGGGCGCTTGTGATCYGAGCAGAGGGCTGGGCTCATAAAGGGGATTAATGACAGCCATAAAGTGCTCAGGAAGGGCCCTTCTGGTGCTCCTGGAGCCCTGATGGGATGGAGATGTTGGGGATGCACACACAGCTCCTTCCARCACATTTCTCAAGCTTTGGCCTGGATTTGGCAAGGCAGGGCTGGGTGTTTGCTCTGATTTAGTGATGGGTGCATTCCTGACCGGCCCCAGCTCCTCAGACTGGAGGATTAATGAATGCTGGATAACCAGGAACCGCTGGGAGCCTCCTGATGGATGGGGAAAGGGGAAGGGGATGCTGAGAAGGGGCAGAGAAGCCCTGGGCAGCTGCAGGAGCAGCCAAGTGCAGGGGATGAAGGGTTGGAGCATGGTGGGAGCATCAAAGGGGGACGTGTTTATAGTCAGGAACCTGACCCCATCCAGCCCTGCAGGCTCCTGCTCTGCCTSCAGCMGCAAATTTKCATTTCTGTGAACAATTCCACGCTGGACAATGATATTTAAACAGCAAAATGCTCCTCTGCAGCCCAAGGCAAAGCAGGACCGAGCTCCCAGTGTGGCTGTGTGTGTGTTGGGCTGGCTCTGGGCTACATCCCCATGTGTCAGCCCTGACCCCGGGGTCAAGAGAGAACTTTCATCTTCAGCACACGAGCGTGACGCCAAGGAAGGCCCGAGGATGACAGAGGGAGACAAAAGGAAGCGGCCAGATCCCAAATAAACATCACCCGGATGGAAGGAGCGGCCTCAGGCCCCATTACTCACCGAGCTTGCCAAACAGTTCCACTCCCAGGGCAGCATAGATAAAAAACAGGAGCATGAAAAGTAGGCCAAGGTTCCCTACCTACACGGGGAGAAAGCAGAACAAGGGTCAGGCAAGTCGAGGTCACCAATGAAATCTCTCCATCACATTTCCACCCTGAGCAAAGGAGGGATGGGGGCTTGGGGTAAATCAGCGTTTCTGGGGCTGCCAGAGCCCTGGTCCCTCTCTGGATTCTGCTTTTGGGGGATCAGGGGCAAATCAGCACTCCTGGGGCAGCCAGGGCCCTGGTCCCTCTCTGGATTCTCTTTTTAGGGGTGCCAGAGAGTTCTTTGTGTGCAGGGGAAGGAGCAGAAACTCCCCCGGGAAAAGCAGCGGCTGCTCCATCACCCC